CCCGCGAGCTCTGCTTCGGCCGCTCCTGTCTGCTTTTTTCCTTCTCTGAAACACAAAGAGCTCACCTTTCAGGACAGACGGCCCTGCGCCCGTCTCCTCGCTCTGCTGCGAGCACCGCGGCGCCCTTCCAGCTCCCCTCCCAGCGCAAGTTCTCCAAACTTCACATCCCATTTCCCCCCCTCAGAGAATTCCCACTCCACTCCCAACCCTCAGCGCTCTTCTCCTCCAGCCTGAGACGCCCCTCTTCCTTCTTTAACGCTCCCCACGCCCTGTTCCCCCCAGCAAGGATGCCCGAGGCACCGTGACACAGCTTCCAGCATCGAGCACTCTCCTTCCTTCCATTCTCCTTCCTCAGTAGCAGCCACGCAGCGAGAACACTGCAATCCACTCCACAGAAATTCTCATGTCCAGCCCTAACGATCCTTTTCCCTCTTCACTCTCAATTCTGTGCGTCTCCTCAGCGCTCGGGACCGACATCTCGTCCCCACTCTTGGTCTCATTGCCTATTTTCTTTCCTCCAACCCTTCTCTCAAACTAGGGCTCTACCCTGCTGCACCCACAGGTAAGGGCTGCATTCAGGCACTCAGACACCCCTCGGGAGATCACAAAGCAGAGCCCGGGCATCGGAGCTGCAGCTTTTCTCAAGAGCGCACCCGTCCTTGGTGCTGCCCCCAGCAAAGGGCCTTTGTGAGGACTCTGTGCAGACGTTCCCTCCCCAGGGTCAAGCCCGGCAGGACCACACCTCACCTTTTTGCTTTTTCACAGGCACATCATCATCTTCGGACAGGGAATCGGAGGATGTATGAGGCGGCGTTTTAACCCCGCAACCCTTTGCATGGAGGGCTTTTGTGACGTCATCTAAGTCATCGGAGTCTTTGGGGGGCCGGTAGTTGGCCACATGGTCCACTCGAATCGTCCTTCCTTTGATCTAGGAGTGGAGCCGTGCTGTCAGCATGGGCACAGTCCCGCTCCTCTGTGAGGCGGCGCCTCCGGAGCCACGGCGGCAGCC